TAATGTACTTTCTGTTAAATCTTGTGTTTATATGATTCATTAAAAATTCTCCTACCCAGATTTTGTGTGTTCACGCCGTTGACTCTCAGAGTTGTCTCTATACCTTATTCCCAAGAGTATAATTTTGACCTTTTTTTTTGTTGTTGTTTTTTAAATCTGAAAGTTTTGTAACTCTTGAAAGAAACTGGCGAGTCCTAAGCTCCAAAAACCAAACTAAACCATCAGGCAGATGGCGGGAACAGTAGGAATTGGAAAATAAAGAGCTTGGTATGTTCTAAGAAAAAGAAAAAGAAGGTTATTTTAGAAATCCACAAAAAGAGAAGACTTCACAAGAGATAATAAAGGTTCCACCAAAAAACGCTGATGAATTTTAAAGTATAGTCACATATTCTTTTGGTCAGATTTGGTCAAATCCTATAAAATAGCACTTGTACAGAAGAACAGTTAACTAAAATATACTGAAATGTATGTGAAGTCAAAATGAAAGACAGAGAGATCCACAAAGAAACGGTTGTAAAGGCCTCGCAAAATATCATCAAGGAGGAAATCTGCTTTTTTATGTTCATGGATTCCAGACTTTGAGTCTGAGTATTGAGTATCTGCACTTTAGTTGAATTTGCAATCTGTGTTGACATAGAAAGCTGAAATATAACAAGTTGTGCCACTATGTGATGTATAACTTATCACTGTAAGTCAGGCTGCTGTAAATCACGAAAATAAATCGCCACTTTACTGAACCGAAGAAAGGGAGTGTTGTTCGTCAAGCAAAACAGCCGAGAAATGAATGTAGGCGGAAGGAAGGCTGCGTGGAAAAAAATAAATCACTGTCATTAGCTCCTCTTCCTGTCCTGAGTAGTGTAAATAGTTTTGTCAGCACCTTTAACACCACTACCGGGACAAAGAAATGACTCGGAAAAGATGAAATTACCCTTTTAATTTTGGCAGCTACTTTTTCTTGACATCGCTGCCAGATGGAGATTTGCAGTGAGCGTCTTCTTTAAATGAGTCAACAGTTGGACAGGTTAGAGGCCAGTTTTATAATTATAATTCTCACTGAGGCACGGCTGTCAGAACCTACAGTGTTACATAATGGCATGTTTCAAAACAGTTTGAGGGAAGTTTTCATGTAGTTGCTCTTGAATCTTAATGAGTGGAAGTGTGATTTTAAAAAAAAAAAAAAAAAAAAAAATTTTTAAATCTAAAACAAGGATTCCTTGATCAACTGAGTGAAAAAATCGAATTTTTAGACATTAGAGTAAGCCTTTTTGTGCTCAAAAAAGGTATTATGTCATGTTAAAATAGAAAGTGCACCCTCTTTCAAGGTTTATCCATCATAATCAAATTAATCCGACCCTTACTTGGGTCTAAAATAATTTAAGTCCAACCTTAGTAAGTTTAATATTACGTTTATTGATATATTGTGCTGTTTAATTATGCATTTAACAAAAAAAAAAGAAGACAAAGTGCAGAACCAGTGTGAAAATATAAGTAGACCCTATGATTCAAAGCTTGTAGAACCAGCTTTAGCAGTATTAAGATAAAGGAGTTGTTTTCATTATTACTTTATCAGTCTGTCGTATCATTATGGAGAGTTTTTGACCTTTTCTTTACAAGGTTGCTGCAGTTCGTTGAGGTCTGGGGATATTGGGTTTGGTTGATGTTGATGTTGACTGGACCATTGGATCTCCTTGATTCTTTTTCTTTTTCTGATGTAGATTTGATGGTTTGCTCAGGATAGTTATCCTGTTGCACAGCCCAATATAGGTCAAGCTTTAGTTGTTGGTCAGATTGGCCAATCACACTGTCTTGCATCCAATCACATTTGGTTAGAGAATACTTTGAAATACAGAAAGGTTCATGGTCCGCTCAATGCAAAGTGCCCAGGGTGCAAGACAAGCCCATATCATTATCCCTCCACCACCAAGCTTCACAGTTGTTATGAGGAGTTTGTGCTTTGTTTTTTGTCAAATGTTGGATTGTGCACTGTGGCCAGACATCTCCACCTTGGTCTTGTCTGTCCAAAGGACATTGTTCTATAAGTCTTGTGGTTTGTTCAGATGCAGACTATGCTGTGCTTCCATTTTCTTTTACTTCTGGCCGCACTTCCAGACAAGCTATACTTTTTTGGTCTTTTTCTAATTGTACTCAGATTGTAGCTCTTGGGTTTTTAGCTGCTGTTTACCCTCTTAATTACTATGGAAGAAGTAAGGGTGTACTTCATTTTTCACACCTTGCTTATATATTTTGGCTTAGTTATTGTGTTTTTGTTCATCTGATGTATTTATCTAATAACAACAGAATAATAATAATAATTATTATTATCATTATTTCCTGATATGTAAAACCTTAGAAGTGAACGAAGGTGTACTTTTTTCACAACTGTAACTAAAATTGAGCAGTTGTAATAATTTTATTGCCATTTAAAATGAAACCTAAAATAGGGAAGATTTAAGCTTTGGTAAATATTTTAGAGGTTACTTCCAGTCAAGTATAGGGTATCTATATCACATATATGCACCAGTGCTTTTCTTTACATTCAGAGATTCAGAGCTTTCCTTGTTCTTGATTATAGTCTCTATTTGTATCACTTCAGGCTGTTTAGATTTCATTTGGACTTTTTATGTATCCAGATGCATTTGCTGCTGCAGTGATTCATCTCTCAGCATGGATATATGCATGCTGGACAAATTCAAGCACACGCCCAAAATCCAACTGGAAAATTTAGCACAGCCCTGATAAAGACCTGTAGACATTTGGTGAATTTCCTTTGCCAGTCTGTTTAAACATCTATAATTGAGCTGTTGGGAGATACAGTGCCTGACTTTGTGTTTGCAAAAGCTCTATTAAAACCTCTACTCTACTTGGTGTGATTATGAAAAATGGAGCCCAACAGGGAAATTATGTAAACAGACTGTTTGATTTGAATTGAAGGTCGAGCTGATTTCTGTTGTTTGTGGCCTGACAAATGGCTATTATGTAGCCCTTCTGCTTGTCCAAACATCCCAAGTGCTTTTAGCATTCATGTGTTTTGAAAGACTCTGATTACACCTTCTATAACATCCAGTGCTTCTAATGCGTCAGGAGACAACAGACCCTTTTCATGACTGCAGCTTCCAGAGTGAGGTAACTTTTCAAGGATGAAACCTTGGTGCTTTTGATACTTGAGATATTTTGCGAGCAGTTCATTCTAAAGCTTCTTTTGTGCAGAAAGGTTTTCATCACCTCGGTGGCGTCAGCGGTCATGAATAAGGTGAACAACAGATGCATTGGTTGAATTTTAATCTACTAAGTTGCTTTCAATTCTCAAGAATTCTTTTCTTTTTTTCCTCTTCTTTTTTTTTTTTTTTAGCTTTACAGAGTCAGTTTTAGTCCTCACATCGTCGGAGGTTGATTATTCTGTTGCTAAGAGAAATGAACCAATGATGCAGTTCCCTTATTCTGTACATGTGAGTCCATGCGCCTGTATGACTGGGAAATTACTGCCCAGTTATTTACATCCTCACACTGTCATCTATCTGTACACATTAACACAAGGATCAATCCTGCTCCCCCGCAGCCGTAGTTTACCAAGGCTGCTAATGGGCCTCTATCAAAGCTCAATCATAATGAAACAAAAGGAAATCACATTAGAGCTTCTGTGATTCGGCTAACCAGATTGACACACACAAGGATGATTTCCTAACTGAGATTAATAGTCCCAATCATTCCATTAATATGTATGTTCCGGTGTTGTTATAGATACTAGATTTGCCATGTACGCTGGAAGAGACTGGCGTCAAAGCAGAGGAATGAGGCCAATTATGTACTGTCTGGTTGGCACAAATAGGAAACAAAGCATTACAGGTGCTTGGTTTGTTTCCCTGGAACTGCTCATTAAGATGACGCCAGTGGGGTTATGGTGTGAGGTTAAATAAAGCTGCGGGTGGATCATAGACACTTCACTGAGATCATCCCACTGATCAGCCCACCCACTTTCATCTTTAAATACCCGTGCCGTTGTTTGAGTGCCATTACATTAACTTTTTATTTTCACCAGATTATGAAAGGTCGAAAAAAATTAATTTCAGTTTTACAAAGTCACAGTTGATGGGCTTAGATGGCTTTTTACTAATAGATTTTTGACATAATTGCCTGAAAACTGATTTGATAGTTGACTGAAAAATTGTAGCTCCAGCTGCAAGGCTTTTTTTTTTTCAGTCTCAATTATTTTCTCCATTACATTTTTCTGTGTTTCATTAAAGAAAATTATAAAAATAAATCAGTTTCCTATAGAGGAAAAATCTCTGAATTGCTCTTTTCATGTGGCTTTTTATTAGAGCTTTGTGTTTTAAAAATCCCAGAAAATATTATTTATGAGTAAAAGAATTTTTTTTTCCAATCAAAGAAATAAAAACAGTTTTAGCTTCTCAAATGTGATAATTTGTTGCTTTTTTTGGTGTTACATGTTTTTGCCGAGCAAGACAAAACATTTGGTATAACAGCTTCTGTTTGCGTTTCAAGAGCAAAGTAATAATTAAGAAAAGAACAAGTAAATTAAAGGACATTGAAAGCCACCAAGTCTCAAAGTTTTTATGCCTCCAATAAAACAGCAGATCAAGCGTCAGGATGCTGGCTTATCAAAGCCATGATTTTTAATGATACTTTAAACTGAATTACTTTACTTGTACCTTCTGCATTAAGTAAATGCACAACATGCCAGCAAACCCTTTGTGAATTATTTAAGTGTATTTAAGGTCAATTAAAGCATGTTTTTATGATGGTTTTAAATCCACACAGTACAAAATGTACTGCACAGCTCTTCAACTGTGAGCCACAGAACATGTTCCACAGTTCCTTAATATAGTAACTTGGCCGCATTTGCTATTCAGTAATCAAAATTTTATCATGTCAGAATTTCTAATACATCTTTAGTAAACAGTAAGTAGGGTCAGTTGACAGCTGCTCCTCTGAGCTCTTTAATTTCCTGCCTAATAGCCACTTCAAACAGAATACATACTCACCCTGTATCGCTCCGAACGAACACAATGCTCCAGCAACGGGCATGTGGCCAAGTGTTTGATAGGTTGTTTTTCTTTGACTTCGTCTTCAGTTTGGCAGAGTTGGCTCTGTAGATCTTCCCTTTGACTGTTTGCCTCACACTTTCTCTTGTTGGCTTTCTCTTCCCCTCTCCTGTTCTCCCTCGTTGACTTTTTTCCTCTGTGCTCTTCTCTCCAACGAGGTGAAAAACACATTTGCCAAATATAGGTAGGTCATCACACTGTCTCGCATCCTCATCAGTTGCTAAGTACAAAGCACTTCGATGCAAACAGACCGGTCAGCATCACCGTGCAGTAGGCTCTAGCTCCTCAATATTCCAGCTTCGTTCTGAGAAAAGATGGTAAATGCAACAGCTGTTCGGCGTCAACGTCCATGTGACAAAACTGCTGAGGTGCCTCGATGCTGTTCAGACATTTTTCACAGAAGAGGAATGACTGAAAAAGAGCTCCTCGTTATCACGAACAATGACCAGCCGAAGGTCTCTTCAAAGAGTCTTCTCTTTTACTGAAGATGAACTCGTGAGCTCGAAAATCTTCTGAAAAATCAAAGGTAATTTCTCAGCTCCTCACACTTTCTGTAAAGTTATAGCAACTCCACTGGCAATGGAAGTAAGTAAAGCTTCTCCAGTGCTCAGGGCTGCGCAGACAGACTTTTCCCCTCCCAACAGACTCCTGCTTGCTGCTTCTGAAAACCCTGCTTGGATGCAGGCTGCGCTGTCATCCTCTCTGACACACAGATTCAGCTGTGAGCAACTACTAGGAAAAATTCCCGCATAGGTTGAAGCCTCCTGTATCAGAGCACTAGGCAATATGTAAGACAAGGGAGGAGGAGGTGAGGAGGTGGAAGAGGTGGAGTAGTAGGATGAAACATAGGGGGAGGAGCCAGAGGAGGAGCTCACATGTCTCAGTAGCAGTTCAGCATAAGCTGAATGTTTGCCTTTGCAATGGCAGACCTGTATGTCTTCATCACAGAGAAATGGCTCGCTTCTCAATCAGCTACACACGTCCCACTTCACGATGATGTTTGGTAGTCCTGAAAGCCTTTTGACCATGCGCCTCTTGTAGGATTTTTAAATTGCTTTCTCTGTTTGTTTTGTGGGTTCTTGCTGTAGTTACAAAGTAAAGAGTGCAAATGTTTTTTTTTGTTTTTTGAGATGAAAGTCAACTTGCTTAGAGTCTCACTCTGTCCTCTGCGAGCCATGGATTAAATCTGAGTAAAAGTTCAACAAAATCTTTTTTTTTTTTTTACATTTATTGTGACTAAGAAAATGATTATATGTGGATCTAAATAACAATTCTCTTATTTCATGGTATGCTACAAATCATCTCCTTATCAAATAAAATCAAACATAAAAAATGCTGATTCAGTAACAGGAACATTTTAAAATAGACAAGCAGTTATAAAAATTCTAGGGTTTTTTTTTTTTCAAAAACTGCTTAGCAAGATTTGGGTCAGTGTTTTTGGCTTAAATTTTGTTGTGGTTTAAATCTACCTTTTTAGTCTGTTGTTGATAAGGCCATGCAGAAATATCTGTTTGCTGCATTGATTCCCAAGCAGCTCTTCATATTAGTAAGCAGGGCCCACTTAAAAGGGGAGAACTTCTGTGTCTGCTGCTAACATAATGAAACAAACACATTGATGTAAATTGTAACGCATGTTGTCAGCACCAGTCACGCGTGTAACAAGTTAAAGCAACATCCTAGTGAACAACAAGGATGTTTGTGGTACTAGATGTTATTTGTGCTGTATTTCCGTGTCAGAGTTACAAAGTCAGCTATAGCTGGATTTAGAGTTTGAAGGAGGGACAAAGAGTTGCCCCTTAGCTTCAGTATCTATGTACACAGGCTCTGAAGTTGCACTCTGACTTTTTAGAGCTAGGAACAATCACAGTGCAACTGTTATAACAGCTTAATGCACCAAACGACACAGATGCAGATCTTCTCATCATAGCTTTTATCACGCAACCGTTTCTGTTGGCAATGTCAACAAATAATACTAGGCCAGATATGACGTATAACCGCTCAGTGTTTTAGTGACGATATCGGCAGTTAAAAAGATACCTCCATGTTTACTTATTGGGAACAGTCCCTTTATTCTTTTGCGTGTAATCCAGGCTAAATCCCTAAATTCTTTTCATCCCAGACATAAAAACATTTGTAAGTTATTGCCGGATTTGTTTTCAGCAGCACGAATAAGTCCTAGTCGAGCAAGTGAAAATTATATATTTCAAACCTAATTAAAACGAGAAACAAAATTTTGGCATGACGAAGAGTTGCAGAAACTTGGTTGGAACCCTGCTGCTTAATTAAACACTAACTGAAAAAGGACATTACGAACTCTAGAGTTAATACAGTAATGTTTATCCAAGTTGTGGAACAAATGAAGTCACTTGGTGCATAATAAATTCCCATGCTGGCATAGATGAATCTTTTTCACAATAAAAACAAAGGAATTAGTTTTGAAAATGATTGCTGAATTATGCTTTTATGAAAATGGAGGCCTTTTTTTCTATTACTCATCACCCTGCTGCCCCAGTCAGCCTCCAGACCCACTCACTGAAAACGCATATGTCCGGCTTTTTCACAAATCGCATCTTGCTTGAGCAGCTGATTCATCTGTGATTAAACTGTGTGACTAGAATGGGCTGAAGCTTTTTTCCTTTAATGGGACTATATCATGCATGTTCCTCTGAACCACCGATTCACTGCCTTGCTATTGATTATTCCAGATATTGAAAATGCACGCATATGGATTCCTCAGTATTCTTCATGTAATGAGGCACACATATACGCTACGATTGCCTAATATCTGTTGATTGGAGACATTGTAGGCTTCCACCTAGACAATTTGTCACTTTGACACCAGAATTATGTCAAGGTACTGTGGACCAACACTGGACAATGGTTATTTTAGGCTTGACTAATAGAAGCCTAATTAATCAGCCATAACTGATGAATTGTGCTTCTTACAGTATTTGAAGATTATCATATACGTTTGTGGAAAAAAGTGAAAAAGAAAATTTAAAAAGGGAGCAAAAGCAGGTTTTTAAAAGTATATTGTGTTTTCCCTTTAGTTTGTTTAATGTTTACTTTGTACTTGAGATGAGCTCCCTCAAGATGAAATGACTTGTGTAACCTGTATAGGGCTTATGTAGCACCTCTCAACTCGCCTAACTGTCTTTCTGTTGCACCTGTTCACACAGTACTTCATGCATCAGCGGCACTGAAACTCCCACAAGGTTCTTGGTTGTCATTTGGAGCAACTTCGGGCTCATTCTCTTGCCACAGGATAAAAGCCGATGCAACGATTAGATGACAGTTCATTCTTTCAGTGCTTGTGGTGTATTTTATATTTGTGCCCAGTCATGGTGTGCCAGTGATTTATACTGAGACTTAGTTAATTGTGCTTGAGGTAAACGGACCAAGAAAAAAAGTCCACCTTCCTGGAAGCCTTTGCAGATAAGTTAAACTGAATTCCAGAATATTGTTATCCTTTGCTGCTAATGTTTACTCTGTATGTTACAAAGCCCAAGAACCCAATCCAGTTGACTGGACAACCATAGACGTTTAATTGCTGATCTGACAATGTAGGACCTTTGCAGCTTTTTTGGGAAATGCTTAAAGATCAAGGCTGTATTGCATGCATGAAGCTTTCTCATGTCCTTGTAGAGAAAACTTCTCTATTTTCTCGGTAAGTTAATGTATTGACAACCGTGTTACCTGTGGACAGCATCTGAAGCTGTCAAAATATTGATTTATAGGTTGACTATAGATTTTTGCCCTCACATGACATATAAGAGTGGCAGAATAACATTGTAAAATAACCTTTAACTCCCCCAAATTGAGCTAGTTATTTTAAAACCAGTGTGGTTTCAAAAAATACAAAAAGCAAATTAGTCATTTAATGGTGCGATTCTGTTTCAATTAAAGATAATTGCGTGATGTGCTTCACACCTCCCACACTGTGTTGCTTATCTTGTGGGAAATAACACGAGCGGCGGTGATAATATTTGGCATATAAAGCTTTCCATTAGATGCATAGCTTCCAAACATGTCTGGTTGTTTGGAAGCTATGTATTTTTACATTTAATGTCAGCTCAACCCGCTCATTAGCTGTGGCCAACCAACTGTTGCATTTGTTACCGGTCAAATTGGTTGTTGTTCAAGCAAAAACCAATCTGTGTGCAACCAGTTCTCTGGAAGCAAACATCAGCTACAACTGCTTAGTTCAGATGTAGTCTTCCCCCAGAGTGAATAATGTGCGATAATTATGCGATGAGTCGTTTTATAAATGAGCTTTCTAAATACTACCCCCCTAAGGAAAACTTATTGCTCTCATTTCTCTGAAGTCCTGAAGAGCTGACCTTTGCATATGAATCTCAGTCTGAAATGGAGGTAACAAGAACAAGATGCTCTTTAATGGAGAGTAGTAGTTGTTAAATGGTATGGTTAATATATGAAACATATTTTTACTACACAGGTTATTCTTGTAATAAATCAACAGAAAGATAAAATCATATGTAAAAGCTGTTTACTTGGCTACTAATTAATTGATTCTCCTTACCTTTCTGTGACCACCTGGTCGTATTGTGCCATGTGGGTGTATAGATAGAGACGTCAATAACTAATGCATTTATACTAATGCATTACAAGCTACAAATAATCAATATGAAATGGTTTTTCACCGCTGCACTGAGTAGACTTTGACCTCTTAATTGATATCTTCCTATAATGGTCTTCAGTGGAAGATGTCTAGCAGTGACTGTGACTTTTGTTAATGTGAGGCTTTTCTCGTGTGATGTTACCTTCCTGTAGAGCTGGTCTCTCAAGGTCTTGATTTCCATGATGAAACCACTCTGCATGTGTAATCCGAGAGGCCTTTATCTCCTCCAAGGTTTTGATTTGATCACTTCTGAATAAAGCGGTTGAGGCCAAAATTATTATTAAGGCTCAAAGTTTTGAATGTTTCAATATGGATTAACCCGGAAACATGGCTGTTTAAGTCGAATCCCTTAGTGGTGAAGTAATAGAACTAAATTGTCGCAAAGTCCAGTTGTGCTAACGTAATCATGTATTTAAGAGCCAGACACTGCCCTGGTAAGCTTCAAAGTATTTAACCAGCACTGCAGGCTTGTACAGTGTTTTCTTTAGGAGGCATTCAACAGCTGGCAATTCAACAGCTGGCAATGTTGGCCCTTTAGCTTAGCTCCTGCAATGAAGATGAAGGTAGAAGTCTTTATGTGCAAACTTTTATCCAATGAAATGAGAACTATAAGCCACTTTCTGTGCACTTTTTGTTGTTGTAATGTTATAGATGATTTTTCTCCTTGCTTGTGGCAAGTTCTCATGTCGCCGCACTGTTAAAGGCAGCTTTTCAACCAAGCAGCATTTTACTTATGGGTGTGTCTTTGCTGTCTGACTATACCCTGTTTGCTTTTTTTTGGATGAGTGCATGCAGGTGAATCTCTGTAGCTTATGCATATGTTAGGTGCACCAAGGTGTGACCACAGATAGATTGGCCAGTAGAATTATTTGCTGAATCATTACAATTTTGACAAAATGTAATCTTTGTTTTTTCACCTTAGTGTGACCAAGTGTAGACACTACGCTACAGGAAAACACTAAACTACAAATACATGACTTGGATATTCCCACTAGACTGAAAATTAGTATAATAAAAGCACCACGGTTGGGCTGTTCGATATAACAATATATATCGGATGACGATATAAAAACGTCTATTTCATTTTATAGTTTCATTTT